ATATATATACCACATTCAATAAATCTTGAGGTGACTCACTAAATCGTAACGACACAATTGCACACAACCCATACCACGGTTTGGGTTAGAATCCGCTGAGGTCAGTGGTCAAGTGCGGTCATACCGCTAAGCTCTTGGGAGTTAGTGTGGGCTGTTACCCATACCATGGCTTGTTGTAGTGCTTTAGAATCTCAGGTTCATGTGTTGAAGAAGGAGATTCTACTTCTTCAGGAGGAAAATAGGAAGCTGAAGCTTCGCACAGATGAGTTTGGGAGCGAGTGTGAGAAGGATTTAGCTGGTAAGGAAGGAATGGTCACCAGCAGTGATAGTGGCAGCCACTTTAAGTGGCAAGTGGTTCACAGTTCAGGAAGAAGGAAGATGAGGAGAGTTAATAGAGAAGATGTGAAGGTAGGAAATCGATTCTCTGTTCTCCAAGACGAGTGTATTTCCCGTGGTTAGTGAGGTTGAAGGTACCATGTTTCCCCTGCTAATCAAGGTAAGAATATATTAATAGTAGGCGATTCTCGGGTTTAAGATATATGGACCGTGCATTTTGTAACAGAGACAAAAAGGTAGACAGAGTGTGGTTTTCCCTGGAGCTGGTGTTGGTGACATAGTCAGCGGTTGGATAATATTATGGCAGGTAATGGGAACAAGCCCATTATCTGTCTTAGTGCTGGGGGTAATGACATTGGGAAGGGCAGGAGAGAGGAGCTGCTGGATAAGTACAGGTAAACCATAGAAGTAGTTAGGTCTAAGGGAAGGATCCCAGTCATATGTAGCATCTTGCCTAGACAGGGAGTGGGCAATGAATGGATGTTTAGGGCAATTGGTATAAATTGCTGGCTAGACAGGTTGTGCAAGGAACTTGCAATCCCATTCATTGATAACTGGGAATTTTTCTTTGGCAAACGTGATATGTATGCAAGGGATGGGGTTCATCTCTCTGGGGATGGAGTGGTTGCATTAGCCAATTCAATTGAGAGGGTAATTGATGACTTGTCTAGGAATTTAAACTGATAGATTATAGAGGTATGGGTGTTTGTGGGAAACAATCAGGCTGCAGCATTAGGGTTAAAAACAGCAGTTATTACCGGGATACCTCAGGGATATGTTTAAAAGACAATATTCAAAATAAAGTTGCTGGTAATGGTAAATCAATTGATCAACAAACAAAGAGAGATAGTAGAGGGCAAAGAGTGACTAGCTCCCTTAAGGTTTACTATACAAATGGTAGGAGTCTAAGAAATAAGATAGATGAGCTAAAATTACTTGCAAGTGTAGGTAATATAGATATTATTGGTATAAGAGAGACCTGGTTCAACCTGAAAGATAGAGAAATGCCTTCTGAATGCAACATACAGGGTTATAAACTATTCCACACTGACAGGGTTAACAGGAAGGGTGGTGGTGTGGCGATGTATGTCAGAGAAAATTTAAATTGTTATATTAGACATGATATAAGATTAGAAACATCGAACACAGAATCGGTTTGGCTTCAGTTTCTCGAGGGTCGTGACAAATTAATTTTGGGTGTGATTTATAGGCCCCCAAACCTTGATAGGGAGTGCAGTAAGCTGTTATGGGACGAAATTCATAAGGCATCTAGATATGAAAATGTTGTGATAACGGGAGATTTTAACTTTAGTCAAACTGACTGGAACAATATGACAGGAAATCTTGAGTCTAGTGACTTTCTTGATACGGTTCAGGATTGCTTTTTAGAACAGGTTGTGACACAACCAACTAGAGGAAACAATCTGCTTGACTCGGTTCTTGCCAACAAAGAATCACTAATTAATAATCTTGAGGTTACTGATGAGCTTGGGGAAAGTGATCACAAATCACTTAGTTTCAATATATCATGGAATTACCCAGATAACTGCAATCAAATCTCTGTCTCAGATTTTCGCTTGGCCGACTTCATGGGACTGAAAAATTACTTGGGTGGGCTAAATTGGGATGTCCTAACTATGGGTTAGGTAGGTGATCTTGGTTGCCAATATGACGTTTTTCAGAGCATAGTTCTAGCTGCCCAGACAACTTTTGTTCTGAGTAGGGAAATTAGATCTAACAAAAATGATCCCAAATGGATGAACAATAGATTAAAACATCTCATTGGTCAAAAGAGAGGTATATATAGGCGTATCAAAAGAGGGGATGGGCAGTTAAGAAATCAATATATTCAATTAAAGAGAGAAATAAAGAAAGGAATAAGGAAAGCAAAAAGAGATTATGAGGCTAAGGTCGCAAGGGATTCAAAGACTAACCCAAAAGGTTCTTTCAGGTATACAGAAGTAAGATTAGGGACAAGATTGGCCCACTTAAGAGTAACTCTGGTCAGATCACTGACAGTAATAAGGATATGTGTGAAATTCTAAATACCTACTTCCTCTCAGTTTTCACCCAGGAAAATACTAGCGATATTCCTGAAATAATAGATTATGTAGAACAGGATGATAATAAACTATGTACGATTGCGTAACTAGTGACATGGTCCTCAGACAAATAGAGAAACTAAAACCTAACAAATCCCCAGGTCCTGATGAACTGTTTGCAAGGGTGTTAAAGGAATGTAAGGATGAACTTAGCATACCTTTGGCTAATCTTTTTAACATATCACTACAAACTGGCATAGTGCCTGATAAGTGGAAAATGGCAAATGTAATACCTATTTACAAGGCAGGTGACAGGTCCTTGGCTTCGAAGTATAGGCCAATAAGCCTTACCTCCATAGTGGGAAAATTTATGGAATTAATAATTGCAGAAACAATTCGTAGCCATCTTGACAGGCACAGATTGATTAGTGATTCTCAACACGGTTTTACAAAGGGGCGTTCCTGTCTTACGAATTTACTAACTTTTTTCACTAAGGTGTTTGAGGAGGTGGATCATGGTAATGAATATGATATTGTGTATATGGACTTCAGTAAGGCTTTCGATAGAGTTCCACACCAGAGGCTATTGAGGAAACTTAGGGCACACGGAATAGGAGAAATTTTTTCCTGGGTAGAGGCATGGCTGACAAATAGACAGCAGAGAGTTAGCATAAATGGGGAGAAATCAGAATGGGGTCACGTCACATGCGGTGTTCCTCAGGGGTCAGTGTTGGGCCCGTTGTTGTTCACAATTTACATAAACGTCATAGATGAGGGAATAAATAGCGACATAAGCAAATTTGCTGATGACACCAAAATAGGCCGTCCAGTTCATTCTAATGAGGACATTAGAGCACTCCAGGATGATTTGAAAAGACTGACGCAATGGTCGGAGAAGTGGCAGATGCAGTTTAATATTGACAAATGCAAAGTTCTAAATGTTGGACAGTTAAATAACCAAGCCACATATAAACTAAATAATGTAGATCTTAATGCTACCGACTGCGAAAAGGATTTATGAGTTCTGGTTAGCAGTAACCTAAAACCAAGACAACAGTGCATTAGTGTTCGCAATAAAGCTAACAGAATTCTTGGCTTCATATCTAGAAGTATAAATAATAGAAGTCCTCAGGTTGTTCTTCAACTCTATATATCCTTGGTTAGGCCTCATTTAGACTATACTGCTCAGTTCTGGTCACCGTATTACAGAATGGATATAAATGCTCTGGAAAACGTACAAAGGAGGATGACAAAGATGATCCCATGTATCAGAAATCTTCCCTATGAGGATAGACTGAAGCCCTGAATCTGCACTCTCTCGAAAGGCGTAGAATTAGGGGGGATATGATCGAGGTGTATAAATGGAAAACAGGAATAAATAAAGGGGATGTAAATAGTGTGCTGAAAATTTCCAGCCAAGACAGGACTCGCAACAATGGTTTCAAGTTGGAAAAATTCAGATTCAGGAAGGATATAGGAAAGTACTGGTTTGGTAATAGAGTTGTGGATGAGTGGAACAAGCTCCCGAGTACAGTTATTGAGGCTAAAACGTTGTGTAGTTTTAAAAATAGGTTAGATAAATACATGAATGGGTGTGGGTGGGTGTAAGTTGGACCTGACTAGATTGTGCTGCTGGGTCTGGTACAGTGCTCCATCCTTGAGTGGGGATGACCAGACTGGGTGGGTCATTGGGATAATCCGTGGGGTGGGTCATTGGTCTTATCCGAGGGGGGGAGGGACATGGACCTGCTCCGCATGGGTCAGTAGGCCTGTTGCAGTGTTCCTTCTTTCTTATGTTCTTATGGTTCTTTTACTCTTGAGGTATCTGTTATATGCATAAAAAAATCACCTGTGAGTACTATAAGGCCTCAAACACTTAATACTTAAGATACACAGGCATTTAATTATCAGAATTTATGATCATTAAGGGATATGAAGTTGAATGACACGCCTGCTTACCAAACTACCAATTAGTGTCGTTGGTGGCCATCTCCCCCACACCCTTGATCACCCTTCTGTTGACCCCTTGTTTGAATTTTTAGCTCCTGGTCGGTCAGTCTGTTAGCTCTCTCCTTAAACTCGAGACACTGTTAGCACACCTCCACAAATCTGGTATAAAGGAAGTGAAAGTTCCGCTCAGATATGTTTCTGGATGCGCTTGTTACCTCGCTCTCTCCTGTTTATATCATTTTGCAGTTAAGTTCGTAGTTACTGTTTGTTATTTGAATTATTGTATTCTTAAGATTATGCTTATCATTTAGAAACTTTTCTTAGCATCTCCTCGTAACTTTGTCGTAATTCATTAACTACTGTGAAACCAAAATTTGTTTTTGCTTCTAAGGATTAAAAGTGAATACAAACTTTGATACAGTGATTGGATAATTTTAATCATTAGTTTTTACGCGAATTATGTCAACCATTGAATTTAATTCGCTATTGTGAATTTTCTTTTTTTCAATTTAACAGATTCTGAGGATGCAACAAGTCATTGCAAGACTATGATCAGTTATAATATTTGTTTCTAGTTTGGTGTTAACATTCTTGTGGCTTCGTATAATAAATGATAGTTTTTGTGATAATTGTTGCTACTTATTTTGATGCAATGATTGCATATCGTTGCAGGAACTCCGTGAGAGACAGCAGACCATCCACAAGCTGGAGTGTGAGAAGCTGTATCTTGGAGAAGAGATTTATCGCATCACTGGCGTCGAAGAAGCCTTCTGGTCAGACCATACACTGGTGAGTGACTTCTGCTTCCAAGAAATCTAACCCTCATCATTATCCATGATTTGCAATGTGACTTACGCTCACTCACTGAGGTCCCTGTCCCTGTTCACCCATCAGTTGAAAATAGGTACCTGGGTGTTAGTCGACTGGTGTGGGTTTGCAATTGTGGGACAAAACTGACCTAATTTGCCCGAAATACCCAGCTAAACAAGCGGCTTTTTATGTAGTAGTATGTCATTGATGTCATCTAGGGCTGTATACCTTCACATGTAGTAAATAGAGATATATTATTATTGGGAATCCATTCCTAGAAATATACACAGAGGTGAAGTTCTTGTTGGGTATATATGCTTAGTATACTCTAATTCACATCTTAGATATTAAAGTATTGTTATCTGGTAGTGAAATGATAACGTTCAGCCTTAAAGACCATAGTGTAGTTAAGAGGCTTCAAACCTCACTTGTTAGGTAAGACACACATACAATTGTTAGGTGTCTTTATTTCGAAGCGTTTCGCCTACACAGTAGACTTCTTTAGTCGAGTACAGAAAAGTTGGTAGAAGCAGAAGAGATGTGAAGACGATGTAATCAGTCCATCACCCTTGAAGACTTAGGTTTGAGGTGGCCAGTCCCTCAGCCATAGTCTGGAACAATGTTTCAGACTATGGAACAATTTTTCTGTACTCGACTGAAGAAGTCTGTGTAGGCGAAACATTTCGAAATAAAGATACCTAATTATTGCACATGTTTCTTACCTAACGATCTGTCAGTATTTTATACCACTTTAATATTTATTCTTTGTTGTAATTGTGGATGAAAAATGTATCTACGGTAGGCCCGTCTATACTTAACATGTGAGGGGGTTATCTTATTAAGACCCGTGGCAGGAAACATTGATTTACTCACCCACTTAATCACTTGCTTACCTATTTACTTGCTGTGAGAAATATTACGCATACAATATTTCCCAGTAATCTTACACTAAAGACTTACAGGGTATTGATTATATATTGGCCTCATGCGTCAGCCAGAGGGTTGAATAACCCGCACGATGTTTCGGTCCGATTAATTAGGGAACCTTTCGATCCTGGGACCATGAGCACTTTCAACATAAAAAGGTCGAAAATACCAGCATACATAGGCTGGAAGTGGTTTCGTTAAAAAAGGTCAGGGATTCGATCCCCGGTACGGGTGGAAACATTGTGCGTGTTTCCCTAGGACACCGACTGTCCATGTTAACTTAGCAGTAAGTAGGTACTTCGGTGTTAGTCGACTGGTGTGGGTCGCATCATGGGGACAAAGTTAACCTAAGTTGCGGGAAATGCTCTGCATAACAAGGGGCTTTCTATATAGTATGTTACTGATGTTAACTATGGTCTGTATAAGTTGTATCATGTACCTGTAGAAATAGATTATGATTATTATTATTTTATTATTATTATTATTAATGGAGTTTACATCCTGTTTACACGAGGGTCATTAAGGCTGCACATAACCTTTTTCACTACCATATAAGAATACTTAAATACCTAAAATAGGAATTGAATTCAACTCACTATATGCACACTAAGAGAAATACACTTCTCTGTGTATGTATTGTGACGAAATAAATAATAATAATAATATTTATTTCTACAAGTACATGTACAACATATACAGACCATAGCTGACGTCAGTGACATAGAAAGCTCTTTGTTATGCAGAGCATTTCGGCCAAATTTGATTATTTTGTCCCCAGGATGCGACCCATACCAGTTGGCTAACACCCAGGTACCTGCTTACTGCTAGGTGAACAGGGACAACAGGTGTCTTAAGTACAACGTCAGTGTGTGAGACGATTGCACTCTAAACTTACTAAAGCACATAATATGAAATAGAGTGAGGGATATAATTCTTATTCCTCAATAAATTTCTCACTGAAAAAAACTTCATTGAAAATAAGCCACAATGATTGGTTTTATTGCGTTACTAACTTTCGGGCTTAGTAATATTCAACTAAATATAACGAAAGTTATACCTAGAAGGTTTACAGAAAACGTGACGTTTTCTTTATAAAAGAATGTATAACTATGAAATATTTTTTTCACTCACTATACCGAATACTCACTATTTTTGGGAGTTCATTCTCAAGTCATCATACTGATCAGTATCTCAGTCAATAGTGACTTCACTTAGGGGTCGTATTTAATGTTTTCCTCAAATGTAATAATAATAATAATAATAATAATAATAATAATAATAATAATAATGATATAGAATGTATATACAGAGAGTTGTATTTCTCAGCATGAGGTCATCGACACCATGCCCAGCCCTTCTAGGGTAGGGTAGGTGCCCGAGCTTGAAGCTCACAAGACTGTCATTCCCATTAGCCCCCTTGGGGCGGGGATGGCAGACCAGAGGCGCCTAGCTTGTGGCTAGGCCAGGGGGACAGTTGGTCCCAAAGATGAGGAGGTACTTGTGCCTCCTCCCATGGGAGAGTTAGGTCTCAGACACTCCCTAAAGAGGGAGCCAAGGCCGGGCCACCACTTGGAAAAGGCCCGGGCCAGGAGAATACCGGCGAATCTTCAATAATAATAATAATAATTTCAGCATGACCCGTTCTGATTGCTGACAAACCTTACCTAACCTAACCCCTGCATGAGGTTATGTAAACAGTGACATACCTACAGTTTTGAGGACCTGAAGCTTCTGGGGGCCACCGGGATTAGCGGCCCTGGAGCAGCTTCATTAGTTTCATAGTAGATCCGCGCATGCGTGTGATATATATATATATATTTTTATATATAATATATTTATATATATATATATATATATATATATATATATATATATATATATATATATATATATATATAATTATATATAAATATGGCAAAGCTAGTGTGTCGCCTTAATGGCCCTCGTGTAGTAGATAGGCTTTAAACCCCATTAACCAACAAATCAACTTAAAGGGTTCTTGATCCATGGAATAAGAAGAACCTCTCTCCTTCCTTGGATAAAACTTGATTGCCCTCCATTCCCAGGGATGACCCTGACGGGTTTAGCTTTTAACTGTTTTATAGCCATTTAACTCAGACCTTTAAACCCCGATATTTAGACTTGGCCATTTAACTGCATCCTTTACAAACATAAATTACCATTTTTAACTCCGCTATTAAAACCTGAGATATTTAATGCCCTCACACAATGTAATTTAACTGTCATTTAAGCTAAGCCATTATAAGTACTTTCCTCACACTGTGATATTTAACCCTCGTTATTTAAGCTTAATTATTTCTTTTATTAAAGCTACAACAATTAACAGCGGTATTTAAACTCGTCAATTTAAATCTCTTATCGCTATTTAAACCGAGCAATTTAATCTAGTGGCTAACGCGACGGGCTGGAGTTTTGAGACTCTATGACCGCGGGTTCAATCCCGGCCGGGGGTATGGTTTATTTGCAATCGTGTCATTACGATTTCTTAAGTCATGTTGGCGGCAGTGAAGGGACTTGAGCTAGAGTTCGTCACGGCCACGCTAGCTGGAGATTCGTCTGTAAAAACTTGCATTTGTGGTCACAGAGGTGCCTGTGCTAACTTTCCTATGATGTAGAAATATACCTAGTTGGATGAATCTTATTGTGGCTAGCTGGTCTAGTGGCTAACGCGACGGTCTGGAGTTTTGAGACTCTATGACCGCGGGTTCAATCCCGGCCGGGGGTATGGGTTAATTTAATCTGTATTTTCACTGAACTTTAAATTCGATTGTATATTTCTGTAACTGCTGTAGTTGACGGGGGTGTTATTTGGTGTTATTGTGTTATGTGATGTTATTGTGTTGTGTGATGTTATTGTGAGTTACGTAGTGTTATTATGAGCTGTGTGGTGCTATTGAGTTATATGGTGTTTGTTATGTGGTGTTATTGTGATGTATTATTTAGTTATGTGGTGTTATTGTGAGTTAAGTAGTGTTATTATGAGTTGACATGACTCGCAAAATCGTAATGACACGATTGCAAACAAACCATACCACGGGCGGGGATAGAACCCGCGATCAGAGAGTCTCAAAACTCCAGAGTTTTGAGACTGATCGCGGGTTCTATCCCCACCCGTGGTATGGTTTATTATGAGTTATATGGTGTTAGTGTGTACGTTTTATGTGGTGTTAGTGTGAATTGTGTAGTATTGTGTTAGGCAGTGTTATTGAGATTTGTGGTGTTGTGATATGCGGTGTTATTGTGAGTTATGTGGTATTGTGATATGCGGTGCTATTGTGTTATTTGGCGTTATTGGTATATAAGAGAGAGACTGGCTGGTCACATGTTTTTCTCAACTCCATTCTTTCACACCCCCACCTCAAAGTGGAAATTCATCAATTTTTTTTAAGTTTTCTTTGGTTAGGGGGGATGTGCTAATGGTGAGGGGGGGTTAATGGGTAGATGTGAATATAAGGGAGATGAAAACGCCTATATTGGCGTGAGGTGAGGGTACTTTATAGTGCGTTAGGTGGCTGCATAGATGGTAGGAATACTCACGTCTAGCTGTATGAGGTGTCTTATCTCGCTGTATGAGGTGTCATATCTCGCTGTATGAGGTGTCATATCTCGCTGAATGAGGCGTCATGTCTAGCTGAATGAGGCGTCATGTCTAGCTGAATGAGGCGTCATGTCTAGCTGAATGAGGCGTCATGTCTAGCTGAATGAGGCGTCATGTCTAGCTGAATGAGGCGTCATGTCTAGCTGAATGAGACGTCATGTCTAGCTGAATGAGACGTCATGTCTAGCTGAATGAGACGTCATGTCTAGCTGAATGAGACGTCATGTCTAGCTGAATGAGACGTCATGTCTAGCTGAATGAGGCGTCATGTCTAGCTGAATGAGGCGTCATGTCTAGCTGAATGAGACGTCATGTCTAGCTGAATGAGACGTCATGTCTAGCTGAATGAGACGTCATGTCTAGCTGAATGAGACGTCATGTCTAGCTGAATGAGACGTCATGTCTAGCTGAATGGACTCATGTCTAGCTGAATGAGCGTCATGTCTAGCTGAATGAGGCGTCATGTCTAGCTGAATGAGGCGTCATGTCTAGCTGAATGAGGCGTCATGTCTAGCTGAATGAGACGTCATGTCTAGCTGAATGAGACGTCATGTCTAGCTGAATGAGACGTCATGTCTAGCTGAATGAGACGTCATGTCTAGCTGAATGAGGCGTCATGTCTAGCTGAATGAGACGTCATGTCTAGCTGAATGAGGCGTCATGTCTAGCTGAATGAGCGTCATGTCTAGCTGAATGAGAGGTCATATTTAGAGGAGACGTTAATCATGCCACACTGAGAGGTCAATTATACTGAAAAGAAAACTGCAAATCATTCCTGGATGAAAAGTCGACGATTTCTGGATGAAATATAACTCCTACCTGCATGTTAGAGAGCAAGTGGCATCCAGACACCGCAGTTATGTATCTACCCTCGGGATCAATGTTTATTTAATATATGGTGCTATGGAGGGAATGTTTAGTGTCAGAGGGAATGTTTACAGTGTCAGTGAGAGGGAATGTTTAGTGTCAGTGAGAGGGAATGTTTAGTGTCAGTGAGAGGGAATGTTTAGTGTCAGTGAGAAAATTCTTTACATATAATCCCTAGGGAAAAAAAAATAGATTCTCTAAACTGCAACGTAAAGATTATCATTGTCTCTCTCTCCCTACAACAAATATTTTGGGAAGAATAATAAATAATAATATGACAAGGATGTGGTGGTAGGAGCCACACTGACACATTCAGTGATAACAATAGATGAACAATGAACAAACGTTTTTGGCACAAAGTTCATTCGTGTTCTTTTGAATTCGTCGTTATGGCCGACAATAGTGAGTGAGGGAGGGAGAGAGGGAGAGAGGGAGAGAGGGAGAGAGGGAGAGAGAAGGGGGGGGGTGAGTGAATTAATGTATGCGAGACAAAAATAAAAATATATTAAAAAACAACCATAAGTAATTTTTACTATCCTTAGTGTTTTTATTATAATTAGTTATTAGTTATCAGGAAGCTCTAACGTTGTAGGAGTCACACAACGCCCAGGAAATAGGAGGTAATCAAGTTTGTTCCTTGGGAACCTTTGGTTTATCCAATTCTTCGTATCAAGAGCCTTTCATCATCAAGGCAAGCAGCTTTTAAACTACGAATGCCTTGTTAATGAGGCATATGGTGGTGTATGTCGACTAGTATTGTATGAGGGCACTAGGGTGTGTGTGTGTGTGTGTGTGGTGTGTGCATGTGTGTGTGCATGTGTTGTGTGTGTACAAGTATGTACTTTTGTTGTACAGGAGAACGTAATGCGGGTGTCAGTAGCTAAAGGGGAGTGATATTTTGACCGTCAGGAAACATGGGAGGTGTCTCTTGATACAGGTAATGGTGAAGTTGGGGTTTTATTCATCAGGAAACAAGACAGAGTAAACCAACTAGCACTAGCATACTCGCTGAAAAATAAAACATCTCAGGGTAGAATGAGATAATTGTGAGAGTCAAAATTTTGAGAAATCGTGGGTTGGCATTTAATAGAGGGAGTGGATAAACGAAAGGGGTTTAACGGTTGGATGGATGGGATTTGTTGAAGGTGGAGAGGGTTTAGGTACTGGGAATGAGGGGAAGGAATAACAGGAGGGTTTGTGTGTGTGTCTGTGTGTACGTACACATTGTAGATATTTTCTGCTTCTAAACGTGTGCCTGGAACACACACACACACACACACACACACACACACACACACACACACACACACACACACACACACACACACACACACACACTCACACTCCTAATGCATTATAGATAGTCATTTTAATAAAGTGAACATTTGCCTGTGATGTAACCAGGATACTTGGTAGTGCAGCTGTGGCAGCGTCCTTCATGACTATCATAGTCTGACCGTCTGACTATCTTCTTTTTAATTTAAAAAGAGTTATACATTGATTATTTTTTATTATTACAGAGAGAGAGAGAGAGAGAGAGAGAGAGATGGGGAGGCGAGGCGAGGCGAGAAGTACAGAGCATAGTATTAGTAACTTTAAAAACCTCTATATGCCTTATACTAACTAAATAACTGACTAACCGTGAAATTCAGCTTGCATGTTTGCAAGCTCCTGATGATGTGTTGACGGCAGTACGAAAGGCCTAGAGCTATCATTCTGCTCTCCCTGTGGTTGTTTTGCATCCTGTATTGCTTGGTTTGCGATATTTGCATTATATATATATATATATATATATATATATATATATATATATATATATATATATATATATATATATATATATATATATATATATATATATATATATATATAATGAGAGAGCAAGGAGAAGTGAAGAGGATGATTCACCAGTGCCACAACACCTGTGCTAACATGTGTTCCATCAGTTGCTGGCTCTCCCTCCTGCCTCCCTTCCTCGCCCACCCCCTCCATGACACCCTCTGAAACTCCCTCCTCCCTTCCACTCTCTCCCTCTCCCCTCTCTCCATCCTCCCTTCCCTCCCTCACCTCGTCGGTTCATTCTGTGTTGAATCCCTGATCAGTGTGGACGATGTGTTACACATAGCTATAGTCATACCACGCGTGCCTGAAGGTATACCACGTATATCCCTCGCACGGATATGCTTTTGGATATACTCTGCATATTTATTAAGCCAAATTACTGTAACAAAATGATTAACTTTACTTAAATAGTGATTTAATGAACTGTGTTGTCTTGTGTAACATATATATATATATATATATATATATATATATATATATATATATATATATATATATATATATATTTTATATGCATATATATATGTACAAACTCTCACTTGTAAGAGACATAAATATGTTTGAAATTATATATTTCCAACCGATTTAACTTACTGAAAAAAATGGTTGAGGTAGAAAACTTGACACATAAATTAAGTGTAAAAATGTAAACCAAAATTTTCAAGGAACCTGAAATTGACTTTGAGGAACCTGAAGGTTTGTGTTGAACAAAACTGCGTCATTACCAACTGCGTTATTTAAGGAGGTAATTTTAACACTTGTTACTTACCTATGTCCGGTTTCAAGGTTCTGCTTCATTATTTTTTTGAGAAATTGTGAAGTATAATGTCGTGTCCATCTTCTGCAGGTGTGAAATGATTTTTTTTTGAGCGTGGTAAACTTAGACCTGAAAAATGTGTGTTAAGCATGTACCTTAAAATGACCGTTAAATGAAAATGTTGAACGCTGCGTTGGTTAAGCAATGTTTGTATGTCGAAAAAAGAGAGTAATTATAGAGAATACATTTCGTCCCTAACATGAGATAGTTGACGGTGCTATAGTATCATATAAAGATACAAGATGCTACCTTCAGGCCAGCATCACGGGCATCACAACGCTTCCTCGCCACCCGGAAACTCCTCAAGACGACAATTCGAAGACTTTGATCATATATCTAAGATCGGGAGAAGAGAGTCTTATGATAAGAAAAGCGTAACTTCGATGACGCCTTTCACGGAAAACGGGAATTTCAACAAACTTGAGAAGATGGAGAGCATAACAGGAAACTGAAGGTTAAGCAGAGGAGGTCCTCCTCGAAGTCAATAACAAGTCGGAAGGAATTCAACGACTTGTGCTCTTCCTCAAACGTAGGACGCAGTGGCAGCAATGAGAGTGTTGTGTTGACTCCAGAGCCTGATGAAGACGAAGCTGGCAGACTGCAGCCTCTCTCTTCCTGGAAGAGTGTGCAGGTGAATCTGAATGAGGAATTCAAGATGTCACAAAAGGCTAAACTTGAGCATCAGCACCAAGAACGATCATTATCGTCATGGAAAAGTTATTCTGCCTTGCAGTCGTACCAGAACAATGATGATAATGATGTGCCGAAGCGTAGGCAACCCAGACATCTATCTCCCTCACCTGAAGTAAGAAAATCAGTGAGTTTTGAAATCCCACAATTCGGTGAAGTAATGAGATATCCTCCAGAAGAACAAACTAAAGCTCAGAAAGAATATCATAAATCAAAAGACAATGGCAATGAGAAGAAAAAAACTGTGATGAAAGGACTGAGCCAAAAACCTCAGAGGTCAGAAGATAAAGAACAAAAATTACCAACGGTAAAGAAAACACGAAGCTCGCCTCTTCCATTTCTTCGAAAGAAAAAATCTGACCCTGGAACATTTCACAAGAGAGAGTTAACAGAGACATCATCTTTATCTTCTGTTCCATTTTTGAGAAAGAAAAAATTCGATTTTGACGCCAAATCATCTATTAAATCTGGAGGAAGTCACCTCTCTGAGCACTTGGGAAAACTCAGCAATCTTAAAGCTAACTTGCACATGCTTCGCAGTCATAAAGTTGGTGAACCCAGGTTAACAGGTTTCACGAAAGACTGCAGTGAGTTCCCTCAGCTAAAGACCTGTTCAGGAGATGGCGATTCTCATTCCATCACCAGTGTTACAAGTATCGAGTCATCGGCTTCGGCAACCAATAAAATCCGACACACGAAATTTGGCAAAAGATGGGTTTATGAAATCCCTGATACATCTTACGACTTTAGAGTTCGCTCTCCCACCAAGATCAAATCCAAAGGCCCATTGAGAGCTTTTAGAAATATAATGGGTATGCAGTCGAAAAGTGTAATAGATCTAAGTGCCTTAGAGAAAGCAAGTTCGAGCGGTCTCTCGAGAAGTTATGATGATATCTTGAAAGAGAATAATTACCCAACTCAGGAAGAATTCCTGGTGGACCCCAGGATACTGACTCTAAGCCACGAAGGCATCGAACCAGGCGACTTCGATGATGACGCAGACTATTATCGAAGCTTGTGTAGACTACACAGAAACTCGCTCTTAGGGAACACCACGAGCGTTACAGGAAAAATATCTACTTCCAAGAGCTCTTCGGAGGAACAAGCTAAAGAAGAAAATAAAGACAAGAGAATAAGCATGTCTTCAGACGAGCAAGACAAGCAGGAAGAGGAAAGAAAAGACAAAAAAAATAGAAATTCAGATAACAGCGATGAAGATGAAAGAAAAGACATCAACTTTTCTCAGTCGCATGGTAAAGTATCCAGAACAAGTTCTGTTCACGACATAATTTTGAAATATGAGGGAATGGAACAATTCAAGAGTCACAACACACCAGCCTCAGACGACAAATCTCCACGTTCCAGTAAATCACAATACGTCGAAAAGTCTCTCAATAATGAGGAAATCTCTGGCGCAGCATCCACTCCCTGCCTGAAGCAAAACGAGGCACAGTTCTCTGCTGATGCCACTTCACATTATGAGAAAGATACAGGTGATCTGAACGAGGACGACAGTACAGACTGGGAGACTTCAGTGCCGTCTAAAGACTGCAAGTCCAGTAAGAAGAAACATCTGGCTGGTCCCAGGTTCTCTCCTAATAACTCGCCAGTAAAAGCTAACAACGAAGACGAAAGACACAACACTGATAGATTTGCGAAGGAAGAATATTTTGAGAAGGGAACCTTAGGGGAATGCATTGCAAAATGCGACGCAAGGAAAGAAAATAGGGTAGAAGAGGAACTACAAAGGCAGGATGAACACAGTATCATTGAGTGCGGATTACAAACACACGTTAATTGGAAAGAAAACGAGAAGCAACTTGTCTCGACACATTACAAAAGTGATTTAAAAAAACAAGAAACTACTGTTTTAGGAGCAAAACGATGTTCGAACGTAGAGAAGACACTAGCATTCAAAGACGAAGATATCTTAGGCAAAAGAATGCACAATGATGAACGAAAAATGCAAGAATATGAAGGAGAATCAAGCATAGAGAAAAGAGGAAATGTAAAAAAAATACAGAAGGGTGAAGGAAAAACAATTGTAAAAACAAGTATTACGGTATGTGAGAGACTATATGATAATTCCATCAGTGATTCGCTGAATGATCCTGAAACCAACCTCTCACCAACTGTCCCTCAAGTGATCGTCACAACAGATACTGACAGCAAAGCGAAGGAGACTGGAGGTGTTGCTGATGTCTTCGTATACGACACTCAAACAGTGTCAAGGAAAATTTCTGATTCAAGAACATCAGAGAGCACAGACTCAAGAAAACAAAGCACATCACGGAATAGTATGCACGAAGAATCTCCTGAACATTCAACTATACAGCAGTCACTCAGTGCAAGCTCAACTGATGACAGTGGATTTTTTTCTTCTCTTCACCGTCTCGTGATGAAGAACAACAGTGTGAGTTCCAACGAGGAGCAGCCCAGCTTGAAACAGAGGATCGTAAAGAAGCTGTCAAGCGTCAGTTCCTTTGAGGATCGTGAAATCACCGACGAGACTCTTGGAAAAGTCCCTCGTAAACCTTCTGGCAAAAAGAAAACTCCACCCAAGAGGCCACCTCCACCCAAACTTGTCTTCGACAAGTTCAACAGCTACAACCAATACTTAACCGTTGACACGGCACCAGTGCCCCAGACGCCGCCGCCGCCGCCACCTAAGCCCCCAAGGTTATTCCAGATTCTCTCTGGGTACAGGAGACCAGCTGACTCGAGCTCTCAGACGGAGGCTCAGAATTATCGACGGTTCTCCCTTGTTGATAGCGACTTGGATATGATTCGCTCAGGACGCCCGACTGAGGAAAGCATCGATGAGCTGGACCATCAAGATTCCGCTACAGATGCTGAGACTGACGGTGACGACACTTACAAAAAATTTTCACTTGTCGAAAACAGCGACGATGAATCCCTCTTAGACTATCCACTCTCTCCGGAACCAGAGGATATATTTTCTTTCAGCGCTTCTAAAGTAATCCCAGATTCTCCCCTTGCTTTGACTGCGCAGAATTCTTTCGATTCCAAAGAGGATGATTCAAGTGGTAATGAAGACTCGGCAGCATCTCCACACCCACTTGTTAATGATGACACTTGCCTGGAAGCAGAGAGAACCCAAGAATCTCCACTGCATCTGCACAACGGACCTCCTGATTCTGACGACAAAACCCGAGATGGTATGAACTCTGAAGCTGAAAATAACACCGAACTTGACACGCCTTTCCCATTTTACGATAACAATTTGGTGGAGAAAATAGTATCGCCTGTGAGTGAATATGATAATTTTGGCAGCGGGCAGTGGCTGTGGTCTTTAGGAAGAGACGAGCAATACGCTGAAACAAATAATGAATGCAAAAATACTAATATAAAGAAACCTCTTGCCTTAACTAGTGGAAAGAAAGAGGCAAGAGAGAGAAACCCACAAGATTCTCCAAAAACGTTATCTGATATCGAAATGAGACAAAACTCAGTACCAACAAACAATAGCTCAAACATTGAACCTAAATTACATGATGTACAGCTGCAACAAAACGCGGCAGTTACAGTGGAAGCAATTCGGACCACTGATTCTGGGGCTATAAAAGGAGAGTCGAGAGCAACTGATGCAACAGTGGAAACAAACTGGGACACTAGTTCTAGTGATATAGAAGTTAGAACAACTGACGCAGCGCACGGAAAAATGCAATCTGACGATGAGAGCTCAGAACCTACGATGCTTGTAGAAAACAAGGACCTCAATGAAAACTTAATCCCCGTCTTGTTGAGCCAAACTCAGAGTAGAGATGATACACCTGCGAGCAAACAAGCTAAACATATGGAAAGCAAACTAAAAGGGTTAAAAATTAAGAAAATCGTTGCTGACACTGGTAAATTAACAGATGAAAATTCAACTTCCACTAAGAAGGAAGAAGAGATATTAGTAGAGACGAAAACTGATTCCATCTATTCTGACTTTAAGGTTCATGGTTTACAATATAAAGACTCAGGTAACACAGCCATGTTCAGTTTGCAAAAAGAAAAGAACTTCACAGAAGAAAATAAAAGTGGCATCGTTTATGATGGTAAACGTATATTCAAAACAAGAAAAGAAGCTACATTAAATGTTAAAAACAAAGTGTTACCTGAAGAAGCCGTTTCCCGATTGCTGAAGAAATCTCGGGGCGTCGAAGCAGTGACTACAGACATAAAAACTAACATCACTGAACTTCAACAGGAAAACCAAGTAAGTTCATGTAGAGAGACAAACTTTTGTCTTAGGGAATCACCAAGCCAGGACGCAGTGAACAGAAGTTCTAGTAGTACGCCGTCTCCAACACCAGTTCCAGCTCCTAGAATATCTAAAGACTTACGACCTGTACCGACGCCAAGAACTTCAAAGCCATCGTCAACCTCTTCTTCCAGGCCAACTTCTGCCATGTCGACAACTTCGGATCGCCCTCTCTTGGCAATGTTCTTTGAGAAGTTATTGGACAGCCACAATCATGGGGAGACTAGGAGAATCTCCATGTCTGTAGAAAAGTTGTCTCCTCGTGAGTCCTTATTGTCCCAGGATGAAAACACTCTCTCAAAATCAGAAGGTTATATAACGAAGAAAGAACAAAGTGAAACAAAATACTGTGCATATGAGGATGTAAACGTTAGCGACGTGAGAGAGTGGAAGCTGAAAACGTCTCTCGATTCTTCCACGTTTAGCGATAGTGTTTCCATATGTGATTCCTACAAGAGTGAAGCGAACATGAATCTACAACCCGAGTACTCCCCGGTAGCGTCCCGTCGCTGTCTTTCGGAGAATGAGCTCGTGAGGATTCCTGGCAGTGCAGAACCATCACCTTCGTTGAAAAATAGTACCCAGGCACGCCCACACCCACGCCCACGCCCATCCCTAACCCGGAGCAAAGCTATAATTTTGTCCAGCGATGAAGAGGATACTCATGAGAGTGGAACACTAATAATGGAACAAGAACCTCGACGCTCAGGTTGCAGACGACTCTGGGTTCGTCGAGGGTCAGATTCCCTGTTATCAGGCTCACAGGAGGCACCTCTACCTGAAGAAGACCCAATAGGACTCCTGAAGGAGGCTGGATACTCTGGGGATACAGAGGACGACGAAGAGGTAAGTGGATGCATAAGACTTGTTAAAGAAAACTTTCCGTATGTATACAGTGAAAGCTATACATCTGTTAATGTGTATACATTAAGAAATTCACTTGTTGGTGTATACTCTGAGAAATACACTAAGATATATATTTCTTTTAGTTGTAAATGCACAGATATATTTATCTCAGTGTATAAGATATTTCTCAGTTCATATACATTGAAAAATGTACAATTCAGGACATTTATTTTAGAGAGTGATTTCCTCTGTTGTAATACAGAGATAACTAAGAAACGAGTTTATAAACTGGCAGGAGTCTGTAATAGGACTGAAGAAGCCATTTGTGGTGAAACGTTTCCTATAAATGTCCTGAACTGTATACAGGCATGCTCCCCTTTACAGTGCTTTGCTTTACAGCGCTTCACTTTACAGTGTTTTGCTATAACAGCAGTTTTCATTTATACCCATTCTTCATTTATTCAGACTTCCTACAATAAATATATTTACCACTCACTATGAGCTAAGAATGAAAATATTTTAAGTAATGTGTGTACTATATATGCATTTTTTAAGCCTGGCTATATTGGTAACTTAATATACGATAGTGTAAACACGTTATCAGGCTTTTATATGCATTTGAAAGTGAAGAAAGAATATGATTCACTTTACGTCGGTAGCCTAGAACCTAACCTGCCGAATAAGCGGGGCCCTCCTGCATAAGTGTGTCTTTCCATACCTTGTCAGTATCACCATACCATTTCTCACTCTGAAAAAGGCACACGGATACAAACCTCTGAATATATATCCTTGCACAAGTATTTTGTATATAACCAAGAGATACTTGTCATGTTGTTAGGTAAGACACGTATGTAACAGTTAGGTATCTTTATTTCGAAACGTTTCGCCTACACAGTAGGCTTCTTCAGTCGAGTACAGAAAAGTTGATAGAAGCAGAAGATACTTGAAGACTTTTTTGTACTCGACTGAAGAAGCCTACTGTGT